TCGCTATTAAGTACGTTCACCGACAGCATCATGAAGGCATCAGACTATGTCTGCCCAAGGAATTGAGTATCTGTAGAGGGATTGGTTTTCACATCGGCGGACTCCCGATATCTGGAATGACAGTAATAGTACATGCGTAACCTCTTTAACTCCTGCCAGGGTACTGCAGTACCGTAATGAGCTGAAAAAAAAAAGCCAAAAAAAAACAGGCAAAGTGAGAGACACATAAAAATTGTGAGGGAAAACAGTGCGGTTAGTGCTGTTCCTCGTTTTTTCCTCATTTTTCGCGAAATTCTGCCGAAACGATTCCCTCAAAGAATGTACGTTTGATTGTTATCACTGGTCGTTGGCATGCACATACCAAAATCACATACACACACACATACATATACCTCATGAACTCCCCTCTCGGTACCGCGCTCTGTCATCGTCCCCGGTTGCCAGACTTTCTCGAAACCAACATTTTGCTTGTCCTTCCACCGTGAAATAACCTCTAATTAACACCATGTTGTACCTTCTTCGTTGAGTCGCCCCAGCTGCCCACCCTTCCCGGCCGCACTTCGCTGACCCGTATCCTCGTCGACCAGATCGACAACACTGATTGACCTATTTCGTATCAAGCAGCCGCTCATGTCGAGACTCACCTTGAGGTAAGATTTATGCTACTGATAGTGGCGCATCCCAGCGGAACCTCAGCCACCCTCAGGCCGCACGCTGTTGACCGCGCCTCACCGGAACATCCCCTGTTATCGCATCCAGAACGTATCGCTTGCGCATTTGACCGCTGACACACTCACAAACAGACACGACGCACATTACAGGCCCGTTAACGGACATATTCACAGACTTACTGTGACAGCTATCGTTTGATATTCATCATCAGCCACATCGCAACAACCATGACCCGTCATCACGATTTGCGGCATTTTGTTCAGCCCAAAATAATTAGGGCGTACTTGCGTCTGAATTATCCAAGCAACACAGCCTTTGCGTCAAAAGTCAGAAACTTTGTACTGGCTCTCTGTGAAAAGCGCAGACACTCGAGAAATAGTTCGAGCAGTAGCAAATGCCATTAGCAATCGTCCACTGGCTATCGATGATTTCCTCTTTCCAACTTTGCTTAAAACAAGCTAATGGCGAGTTTTCACTCTCTGGAATAAATCAGTACCAATTTGTCATCGAAATGAATGAACAAATCGTAAAGGACCTTGTTTTCCCACTGGCGAAATCAAACTTTCGCCTTACCCGAACTGCTACTTCTCACTATTGCTTGTCCTTTAGTGCGTTGCAGATTCACGTAATAAACGTCAAAAGCTTTCGAAACCCAAGCGTGTTGCGAACCTTTTTGATGCAAAAACTTCGCTGTCACTTTTTTAGGTCAGATCGTTGCCAATAAGAAAGAGGGCAATAAACCACAAAGAGTAATAAATAAACCGGGACAATAAAGAGTAATGGACAAGGAACAAAAAAATGACCAAATGGTGGACATCGCAACTCCTCAGTCTGAGGTAAAAGCATGCACAAATTCACCCTTTGGAACCTGATCCCGACAAGCGCGGGCTTCTGATACCATAATGATTGGTAGCTGGCCTGAGCTGTTAATTCGAATCTACCCGTGGGAACCAGTTCATTCACAACGGTCATTGATTCATTTCGATTGTAAATCAAAGTCAGATCACCCCTCAACCTGCTTTCCAAGCAACTTTCAGAGGAGAGTTTCGCCAGTGCTAACCTCTGTCGACCAGCGGTTGCGAGCGGAAGAGTTATCACTTGGTCCACCTTCGGATACATGCAACACCCAAAGGCAGTAAATTTTGGTAGGTTTTAAAAGTTTGAACATTTTGGCTCTTTTAAAAAATTGTTCGCCTATAAATACGTAAAATGATTGAGTGAAATAGGTATAATGGGCAAAAAGAAAGTCAAAAACTGAAATACTACAGGTAATAAAATACAGGTCCAAAAATTTCTTTAACACTTTCCCTCCAGTTTTCAGGAAATCGTTCTTTCGTTCGAAAAGTCGCTCATACATACATACATATACATATATATATATATATATATAT